ATAATCACTTTTAAGGAGAATAATTGCAATGTATAACAAGCTACCAAACAAACTATAATCAACTTCCTCCTTTCAAGTTATATAATAACCATTTCATTCACCAACAAACCAACCAACCAACAAAAACAATGAAGCATGATCCTTCACAAACTAACAATGGAGTCATATCAGCAAAATCACTTCTGCTGGCTACTTACTCACTTGCTGCAACAAAAATTGTCCCAGAAAATGTTGGGACCCGGTGAAGAAGAATCCGGCGAGGCGATCAATCTAACAGGATCCCTTCACCACACCAGAATTAAGCATTACATTAACCCTCTAACCAAATTCACACCCACTCCTGGATCAATGCAGTAACAAAACCGGATTCGTCTTCCCCGGACAACTACTCATCATAAATCATAATCTAATTACTCCCTAGCTATTCCTAATGTCATCATCAATCACCATTCAGGTTCCCTCATCTCATCTCAAACCTGAATCAATCTTGTTGGCCTTCTGATGGACATCTGATGAGCTCCAATATGTTAACCACCTCACCCATGTCTGGCCGGTTTGATGGTACTTGTGAAGTGCATATCAACCCCAATTTCATAACTGGAATCGCCTCATCTGCTGGAAAGGCACCTTGCAGCTTCTCGTCGATGCACTCTTCCACCTTTCCTTCCTCCAATGCTCCTCTCACCATGTCACATAGCACTACAACGTCGTCTTCCATGTACTCCACGGGCTTTCTCCCGGTAACAATCTCCAGAATCAGAACTCCAAATCCATACACGTCGCATTTCTCGGTGATTTTCACCGTTCTGCAAGCAAATTCAGGCGCCATGTACCCAAGCGCGCTCTGGATCTTGCTGCTCAACACGTAGCGGTCTAGCATTGGCAGCAACCTTGCCAGCCCAAAGTCTCCCACTTTAGGCTCGCCTGTTTCGCCATCGATGAGTACATTGCTGGATTTGATGTTGTAGTGGATGATGTTCGATTGGTGCAGATGTGCTAGCCCTTTGGCGGTGCCCAAGATCAGGTTGAGCCTCTCATTCCACGACAGAAGATTCCCGCCATCGTGTAGATGCTTGTACAGACTACCTCCAGAGACAAACTCGTAGATGAGCAGCTGCAGTGATGTCGTCCAGTAGTAACCATCGAGCTGTACAAGATTCTCGTGGCGAATCTTCCCCAGCTTCTTGACTTCCCTCTCGAAATCATCCTGTGACTTGACAAGGCTCGACACAGTGAGCTTCTTGATTGCAACTGGGTTCCCATCTCTAAGAACAGTACGGTAAACTGCTCCGAACCCTCCACGCCCAAGTTCACAGTCCTTGTTGAGAAGAGCATGTGTTCCAGCACTGAAGAAGTCAGGATCGCCCGAAAACATGACCAGCTTGCCGGATTTGGGGTCTGTGGTATGCGAACGGCTAAAGGAGTCCTCATCACCACCCGCGGAGAATGTTGTCAATGCAGTTGCGGATCGAGAAGTTGCTTGGACTCTAAGATTGAGCACAGTGACGGCAATCACACCTACAACGATTAGAGCTGCTGCACCAATGGCAACGAGGGCTGATATGCTGAGTATGATTCTCTTGTGACCGAGACTATTCTGTGGGATTGAACCGTCGGCTGACTCATCTGATGTGGCATTAGGATTGAGGACAATGGGTTTTGGAAGGACTGTATGGCAAGTCCTGTTCACAACCGCTCCACAGAGAGATGGATTGCCAGACACGGAAGATGGCGAGATGGTGTTGAAGAAACTGCCGGAAGGTAGTTCGCCTTGCAAGCGATTGTGGGAAATGTTGAAGGTTGCTATGTTAGGAAGGTTGGCTAGCTGCTTTGGTATGGTGCCTGAGAGAGTGTTGAGAGATAAGTCTACATTCTGTATGCTGGTGAGTTTACCTAATGAGGAAGGTATTGGTCCACTCAATATGTTCCCAGAAAGGATTCTGCACATAGAGAGATGAAAAGAAATCGTCTTTCTTTCAGCACCTTCAGTAAGTCAAGTTTCAAGCAGCACCAAGAGGTAAACTCTAAATCTCAAATCTCAAGAATTGGTTCAATGAAGAAAAGAAGGAAGTTGTAGAGCAAAGGGCAGAAAATGCTTACAGTGTAGTTAGTGAAGAGCAGTCTCCAATTGAACTCGGAATCTGACCAGAGAGGAAGTTAGAATCCAGTTTGAGAACGTTTAGAGAAGTAGCTCCACCAATCTCCATGGGGATGCTCCCGTTTAACTTATTTGTGCACAAGTCTAGAACTTCCAGTTCCTTTAACTCTCCAATGGCGCCTGGTATAGGACCTGTAAGCGAGTTCCCAGACAAATTCAATACCAGGAGTTTGCTTTGGTAATCAATGGTGGAAGCAATGTCACCAGAGAACTCATTATCAGACAAATCCAAATACTCCAACTTCGGCGCCGCCGACGAGTGCAAAAGCTTCTCCGACCCAGATCCAAAAATCCACGCTGGCAGGCCGCCATTGAACGAGTTATGGCTAAAATCCAAGGTCGAGAGGCTTCCACAGCTGGATATGGAATCTGGGAGACCGCCAGTCAGACGATTCCCAGAAAAGTTCAAAACTTTAAGCATCTCAAGATTCCCAACCGAAGCAGGGACATGACCAGAGAACTTGTTCCCAGAAAGATCCAAACTTTCCATGCGTTTCAGTTCACCAATCCAGCTCGGAACTTCACCTGTCAAGGAGTTACTGGAGACGCTGAGAGAATAACAGAGTCTCAAATTCCGCATTGTAGCTGGAAGATACCCAGAGAGCGAATTCCGGCTGAAATCGACGGTCCTCAGCAGCAAACATTTCCCGATCCCGCCGGGAATTTCCCCAGTAAACTGATTCTTGCTCAAATTCACAGCACGCAACTTGTTGAGAGCCTCAATCCCTGGAGGAATTCCACCCTCGAGCAAATTATCAGACAAATCAAGCGAGCTCGGCCCCTTCAAGCCCCAAATGCCAGATGGCAGGGACCCAGAGAGCCGATTGGAGCCGAAGTTTACAGAAACCAGAGTACCACATGAGCTCAAAGACGCCGGAATCTTGCCGGAGAACTTGTTGTTAGCCAAAGAAATTGCTCGGAGAGACCCACATTGGGCGAAAAACTCGTCGGGAATGGCGCCGGAGAGTGCATTCCCGCTCAAATCGAGGATAGTGAGATTCTGGAGGCGGGCGAGGAGTTGAGGGGTGAAAGAACCGGTGAGGTTGTTTCTCGAGAGGGTTAACTTACGGAGGAATTGGAGCTGCAAGAGGCCCCGCCCGATCCGACCCGAGAGAGAAAACCCGTCGAGGGAGAGTTCGGTGACCCGGTTAGATCTAGGGCTACATTTCACTCCCACCCAGCTGCAGGGGCTGTAGTCGTCTTGGTTCCAAGATGCGAGCTTTCCTTCAGGGTCTTGAAGGTCGGATTTGAACACAATCAGACCCAGTACGTCGTCGTTGAGGGACGGGGTCAGAGATCCCAAGCAGCAGCCTGTAACCAAGGCGAGAAGAAGCAGCAGCAGAAACAGAGGCCTTTCCATCTTCAGCATTGTGGTGCAGAAATTAAACCATTTGAGAAAAAAGATTGGGTCTTTGTTTCAATTACCCCGCCAGAAGAACTTTCCAACTGGGTAGGTATTAGGTAACCGTGGAAACTGAAATGGGGATGTGAAAAACGGAGAATCTTCTGCTCGATAGAAAGGGGAAATGACGAGGCCCTGTATTTTGTTGTTGCGTATCTGTTTATCAAACGGCTAGTCTCATGTGAACGAGGGCTATGTAGGTGGACTACCAGAAGGTTGACAAAAGGCGAGGAGGGTGAGGACAAGAAGAAAAGAATAAAGCAGCTGAGTTCATCAATGGCTGAAATGAGCTAGAGAGAAAGAGAGAGTTGAAGAAAACAGAGGAGATTCTGCGGCGGGTTGTGAAAATGGTTGACAATGCAGTAGGTGGAAGTTGAAGAGGGGGAGAGAAAGAACTTGGATAAGAGGGAGCAGCAAGTGCTAATGTTTCATTGTGAAGCAGTGGCCGGAGGCGGCGGAGGGGAGGAGAAGAAGAAGCTTCGGCGGTTGCCGGGAAGAGAGACGGAGTTGGGGGTTTTTTATTTGTTTTGTGGTGGTCTTGTCGTGGAGTTTGTCCTCGGGGAGAGCGAGTGAGAGAGAAGAGAGCTTGAGAAAGAAAATGGAAAAGAGTAATGGAAAGATATAGAGAGGGAGTTGGTTAGATTCATTGAAGTAAGTAATGGAGAGTGCAAAGGCAGATAGGTTGGTCGGGTCTATTTATTCGGTTTTGTACGTGGGATAGTATAGATGAGGTGGAGGATTTTGCTTAGGTGGCGTTTTGATTAGGGCATCTAATGAGCCAAATCGGATTGAGATTTGTCTTGTTTATCAATGAGTCAAATTCGAGTTGAGTCGAGTTCAAATGTGGTTAATTTATTAAAATCTTGGTCTGTCATTAATGTGATGTTCTCGATCAGGTGGATGAGGTTGGGGATTGACAACATAGTAATGTGATGTTCACGATCAGGAGAAGGGACATTTTTTAGCACATTAAAATTCTCACCACTCGTTCTACACTTTATTAATGTAATCTTACTATTGATTATGAAACAATAAGTGGGTGATTCCTTCTCGTTTCAATTTACCCCGGCGGGATGAGGGGTGGTGTGGGACCCGGTTCACGTGTCGGGTCAAGGTTTAGGGTTGGTTCTCGGGTTGGGTTTGGCAGGCTGCAGGTCAGAATGATGTGGTCGTTCGGGTCTTCCCTTTTTAGGGTTAAATTAGGTTGATTGGGCGTTTTCATTAGCGAGATCATCACTTAACATACTCTTTTAATGGAGTCTGGCGGACGTAACAAAAAATGACCAAAAAAATACTGTGTAACTAATTTGAGTGATTAATAATGGAATAAAATAAGTTTAGTGACAAATATGAAATTTTTTTAATAATCTCAGTAACCACACTTACGATTTACCCATATCTATGTAAAAAACAAAAAAGACTTCTTATTTATAAAATAAAGCGACTTCTCCCGTTATTAGGCCATACATGTTTCTTAGGTCAGAAATAGTGAAAACAACATTTGTAAGAATCGTCAAAAATGTCCACCGGAAAGCTGCTGGAAGGTTGCTGGTATTGACGCGGCTGGTTGACGTCTCCGTTCTGCAGTTATAATACCACTCTTCCAAGTGCTTCCCAGTTTCCACCTGAGGAACCAAACACCATGGACATACTCAGCAACCTTCCTCCCGACGTTACAGACCACATCCTGACCCTGCTACCCATCAAAGAAGCAGCCAAAACAAGCTTGCTCTCCCAAAAATGGCGGCATCGTTGGAGAACCATTCCTCATCTCGTGCTGGATCGCGATTTCGCCGCAGTAATCCCTCACAACAACGAGGGTAGTAGTAGTAGTACTTCATCATCTTCATTGGAGTATATAAACAAGGTAACCATGGAGATCAATAGAGCTCTCGCCCTCCACAAAGGACCAATTACCAAATTCGTCCTCGCCGTCCCCGGGCTGAGACCCAGCCCGGAGATCGATCAAATTCTGCTTCGCCTCTCCGAAAAAAGCAGCAGCTGCGTCCAGGAATTCAGCCTTCGCTTCGGCGACGATCAGGTCATGTCATGAACCTAACTGATTTCAATAACTCGAGTTGTTGGAAGAGGTATATGTATGGTACTTAACCACTTTACAGGTCAATCCGTTCAAGTTTCTGGACAGGAATCTGGCTCACGAAGCTGTGAGGACGTCGCTGCCTGTCGCCGGATTCGGGAAGCTCACAAGTCTTGAACTGAAACAAGTAGTTCTGTCCGCCGATTTCTTCGGCGAATTCATCCCCCGAAAGTGTCCCCTGCTTGAAGAATTGAAGCTGCTGAACTGTGACGGAATTTACCACCCTCAGATTGTAGCTCCGCGGCTCCAAGCTCTGTATTTCCACTCCACTTTTTACACGATTTCGTTCGAATTCACCCCGCTGCTCCACTTGGTATCGATCCTGGAAAATGGTTTGTATCACTACGATGGGTACGGTTACGCGGAAGCTGAAGCAGATGCCGCTGCTGTTTTCGCTTCCCTCCCTGCTCTCCGCCAATTGACCCTCGGCCTTGAATTTCTGCTGGTAATTAAGTGATAGTTCAAAGATATCCGATTTCAGCTTCGCTCCTTGGGTAACTCGCTTCATGATTTCGTTCTGTCTTTCTGTTTGCTTGTTTTGTGTGTTGTAGTTGCTTGCTGACGGTGTTCATATCCCTACAAGGCTTCCTACTCCGCTTCGCGACTTAACAGAGCTGGAAATACCTCATCTATGCCTGTCTAGTTTGAAGGAAGCTAGGGTTCTTGTCTGTCTGATCTTGAATTCTCCCAACTTGCGTTGTCTCGCCATAGGGGTTCGTTCGTTCGCGTGTTTCGTGTCTGATTGCGCTTTAATTTGAGTAGGTATCTGTACACATGCCTTCTTCCTAGCTCGAATCGGCTGACAAAAATTGATATGATCCGTGTAGCTGGATACTGGAAACGGGCGTTCGATGGGAGCCGAGGTTGACAGCCTGCTGGAGATGTTGGAAGCCGGAGAGCTGATGCAGCAGCCTGGTGGTGGGAGTAGTAGTTGCCTGCAGTGTCTTGAGGTGTTCAAGATTCAGAACAGCCTAGGGGAATTGCAGGCGGAAATGGAGCTGGTGAGGTTTGTGCTGGCCAATGCCAGGCAGCTTCGAAGAGTCCACATTACGGCTCTGCCTGAGTTGGAAGCAAGGAGTGTTGCCAAATACTTGATGGAGGTGGGAGATTACTGGCGTGCGTCGACGCGAGTCGAGGTTGTATACACGATTGGGACGACGACGAGCCCTGATCAAGAGGCTCCAGCACGCTCTATGTCCATAAGAGTATAGGGTAGAAGTCCATGAGACCATGACCAGTTGACGGCGTGTGTGTGCATCTATCATCTTAGTATGTTGCTGATTTGGCGCCCATCTTCATGAATGAGAGGAGAAAATTGTCAGATTAGAAGTTTTTGAACGATCATGAACCAATTCTCAGCATATTTTACGGTGGCCCAACAATTTTTGAAGCGGTCACTTGTCACAGCACATAAAAACTTTCTATGATCTTCAGTAACTGCTGCTGCTGCTGCTGCTTATGATCCTCAGTTGAAAAATCTCATATGGAACATTGTGCCTCAGCTCCATCATGAACTAACTTAAAACAGAGAATAATATAACCTTTATCCAACTTACTTTCGAAGACAATGTTAAAAGTTAACAAGGAAAGTGCTTCCAAACTAGCAGATGCTTGTCAACCCAGTCTACCAGCAATCCCTGATGGCATATGTTATGTTATGTGGCTCCCATTTCCATCCACCACCATAATCATTTAACTTCACCCATTTCGTTGGCACACAACATTCAACCATTCATACTCGGCCAAAAAAAACTCCTTTTAACTTCTTAAACACAAGCACTGTCTAAACCACAGCATTGTCACCTCAAATACATTACATTTACGGTTCATAGTCCATACATCGGCAAGCCATCTTTAAGCAGCAAGGATCATTGTATATTACCACTCATTCATCCATCTGTGATTCAGTTCGATCATTTGATGGTTCCCTTTGAGATGGATGATGTGCAAGGCCCACCAGAAGTCATGAAAGGTATGCCCTTGAACGTGGCCACACCCTTGTCATCAGTGAAAAGATTCTGCATTCCATCAAAGTCACACATCATCATATCAGAGATATTGCGTCTTACACGAGGCTTTTTATAAAAGTTTAAGACTCGTTCACTCTGTTACGAGATATCTATCCCTAAAGCACGAAGAGCTAGCATCTTACAGTGACATCATTCAGAAGAATATAAGACCCATCACAAGAAGACCATCATATCATTGCACTTACTGGTGTTATTTTCTCCAACTGCTTCTTTTTCGGGTTGAGCACATCTTCTGGCTTACCTTCGATCCTAAAATGAAATCACAAACGGAGGCTTATCAACAAGGGAATACAATAATGTTCGTTTGGAAATAAATTGGAGGTAGCATCCAGATTCCCAAACTTCATGCATGACTATCCGAACTTGGTCCACTTTTCAAGCATAGTCATTTGTACAATTCAAGTAGGGTAAATGAGTAGTAGGGGCATGACTATGGCATCAAGATGCTCACCCTGAGAATGATACACGTTCTCCAATTTTGGCACCTTCAGGAGGCAGTAGAGGTTCCACAGCAGTGTGGTCTTCACTTGAAGCACATAAAACCTGAAAAGTTTGGGTTCAAAGAAATGTGTTCACTGTCAATTTCATTGCTTCAGTCTTTGATAATTGAAGATGGCAATGAACAATCCTACTTGCAGTAAAGATTGTAGTCTTTGACTATGCAGCCAATACGGAGAAGAATATGAATGAAAGTGATGTTGAATACAGGCAAAGCAGGACGGCATGTAACAGAAAAATTATAAGAATAAGATATTGTGCCAAAGAAGACCTTCTAAGTTCTAGGATTTGGATTTGGAGCATCAGCCGAGCAGAAAGCACGATTGGCACTTTTTTTTGGTTGGTAGAAGACGTATGGGAAAGGTGGAAAATTGTATACCCTATTTATAGGAAACAACCAGATATTTACTTTTTTTTTACCACAAAAACAGTAATGATTTGATAGTTTGACCATGCTAACAAAAGAAACAATGGAGTATCTAGAGTTCTAAGAGGAACCAAAAACAGCAAAAACATCGACTCAAAAAGGAAGAACACGTGCAAAAGGCTCCGAAACACACAATCATGCCCCTGAAGCTTATTAAATGGATTTGAAACGCTGAATGAACTTGGAAAGCATACAAAAGGTAGTAAAGATGATCGCATGACTAAAAAGGACAATTAGAGTTTACCAGTCCTTCTGACATCACATCACGGAGCTTTCCCGGCTTTACATTTGCAATCAGCACAACACGCCGATTCTTTAGCCACCAAAAAGCAAGAAAGGAAAGGACAGACCAAAGCAACCATCAGAAAACATGAACAAAGAGAAAATAGCCATAAACTGTTCGTCACATAAATGGAGGATCTTACCGTCAACTGTTCTGGACTATAATACTTTGCCAAACCACTAACCACCTGCCTCACTTTGGCTTCCCCAACATCAATTTCCTCAACCAACAAACTGAATTATGCACAAGAACGAAAAATGTCACAATAGATACATTTCTGCACCACCAGATCATAATCCATTCTTAAAAATAGTTGAAAGTTAGAAACTTGTCACATGCTACTCGAAAAACAGTAGTCATTATACCTATCAGCTGATGGATGCTTCCATGCTTTGCGGATAAGGCCAACCTGTATATTAAGCAAACTAACACTCAATTCTTTATCTTTCTCTACAACTTCTGTAGTGGCTGGTTTCTTCTTGTCCTCCGTGGGTTTCTTCTTCTCCTCATTAGATTCCTTCTTTGCTTGAACTTTTTTCTTTGAGTTCTGATGGAAGACCAAAAGGATGCCGTGAAGATACGAAAGTGTACCAAATACCAATAATTACCCAAGTGCACATTTGTGCACAATTAACCATCATAAAATATTAACAAGTACAAAAGGAACTAGCTTGATAGAATTTGCTTCACAATTTAGCAGGCATTTCTGAAGTTTTTTCCCCGGATACCTATGGTTCAGACTTTACTTCACAAAGGTCGCTCTTATGCTTGCAATGTTTTAATAGCATCACAACTCAAGAGAGGCAAGAAGCAAACAGATAAAAGAAACACTCCTGCCCTTCCTAAATATCAAAATATTGTACTATATTCTTCATCCAACCCACAGATAAAAGAAACACTCCTGCCCTTCCTAAATATCAAAATATTGTACTATATTCTTCATCCAACCCAGCAACACTAAACTTCTATGATTTCTAAGGGCAGGCCAGGCATAAAGAAACAAGCGAGCCAGACTCCTTGTGATTGGAGTGTAGCTTATACAAATATAGCATAACCAACTAGTTCCAGTCTTAGCACCAGCTGTCTCTCTCGTGTTTGTGTTCTGTACCAGATTGTCTGGTAATGATCTGAGAAGTTGATTATTCATCCCGAGCAGCTCCATGTTAGCAGTACACAAATACAAACGAATTTTAGATTATCTTGCGAGTCTTTAAATTAGGCATGCACAAGATTATCCCAAAAGTTGGGTGAGTACAATCTACTGTTCCCTTGTCACAGATCCTGAAATCCTGTTTTCCTAGTAAGAGAACCGATATAAGCATGGATGCATAGGTCAATTTTTGTGTATACTACACATACCTTTGCTGCTTTCACTCTCTAATCCTACAGAAGATGCAAATATGGATTTTTTGCTCGAATCAATAAAAGAAAGGATACCTCAGGTTCAATTTTGCTCGCACTTAGGTCAGCTTCCACCTTCTCTGCTTTCTTTGTGTTTTGTCCAGTCTTCTTAGCATTTGGATCCGCTTCTAATTTTCCTACACTGGGGGTGTCTCGCACCTGCAATTAAGCACCAAACATAAGCAACTCAGAAACCTTAATTGAGCCACAAATCAAATAAACGAGCCAAAGGAGAACAGGTAAGCAAGCAGAATCCAGAGTCACAATAGACAAATGATTTCATCTACTTAGCAATGAGATGCTAGTTCAAGCACAAATCAGAAGCCTCGTTTTCAAAACATCAAGATTCGGAGTTTCATTAGGTCCTTAACTAATGTATGTAAAAAATTAACATCTGGGAAACTACATCTAGTTATTTATCAACGGCTGAATAAATCTATATTGCTAGGAAAAACTCAATGGTAATAGACATGTTGACGTCACCTGCGGGACAAATGCATCCTTCGCCAATGGTATTTTCTCAAACAGTTCCCCAAAATCTACCCTGTGCTGGAAGAACAGTGAAAGAAACCAAGTCAATTCAGGAACCAGAAACACAAGTTCAAAAGGGCCCGCAGGAGTAAGACTTTAAATGCAACATGACCCACGTAATACAGTCAGTAGAGAATGCAAATTACAAGAATGTACGATTTTCACCGAGAAACGGCTATTTTTCATGCTTAAGACCTATATAGAAGAGGTTCACAGTTCACACTGATTCTAGACAAGTACTTCTATGTTACGAAGTTTTAAATAGAAAAACAAATCAGACCTCCTGTGCATCATGAACGGAACATTGACTGCAAATTTAAGAGCATATGAGAAAATTATTTGAGATTCCGTGAAACATGAAGCAGCTCTGCAAAAAATTTATCAATGAACTAAAAAAAACTGCAGCTGTACCCTCCCAAGATACATCAGCAACCTGGTTTAATCAGATAGGTTTCAAATGGTGGCAGGAAACAAGAATGCAGGATAAACAAATGTCTCTTGTGCTGGTAATATGCCAATAAGTTTTCAATTCAATGGGACGAAACAATTCACCTGTATGTAATCCATCCATCTGAATACATGCACAAACTTCTCCGTTTCGGACTGCGGTAGGCCCATCTAAACACAACAGAAACATTCATGGCATTAAGAAAGCATAAAATTATCCTATGAGGGGCTAAGGCAGAGATGTGCCAGTATTTACAGCATCGAGGGGCAGAAAAACACACCACAAAAGAATGTATGGCCGAGAATACAATAACATCAGCTTCCGATGGCCTGAGCCCATTCCCCAAAAGTACAGCCTTTACAAGCAAATCATCGTTTAGTCCGCTGAGAGCTTGACAACACGCCTTAGAGTCTTGAGGAAAACTCTCTGCAAACCCTATCCATTTCATCACCTAAACACCAAGCATTCACCTTTTCTTAGAACAATAGAAACAAAGCTCTAGGGACAGCAACAGCAATCAAAGCCTACTGCATACTAGTTAAGCCTCGATAGCGAGCCAAGAGCTTACCTCATCTTGTCCATTCAATGGAGTGAATTTTCCTGATGACTTCAGGATGTTGGAGTACAAGCTCTTAACATCTGAGTTCCCCACATCACCCAATGACTCTGACTGCTGCCCATTTTCAACAAGTTCTCAGCTTAGCCAGAAACACCAGCAAAGCTTCCATCGCAGAATAAAAAAATTGCTCAAGGAGTTACTGAAAAGAGTAAGCAGCCAAAGTCAAGAGGAGCTTACCGGCGATACAGAAAAGTACTTGCATAAAGCTGATGCTATTTTCCGCTTCGTTTCCACATCAACAGCTCCATTAGCAGCCATTTTCAAACGAATATCTTGTGCTGTAAGTCTCTCTTCCAATTTCTCAGTCGGGGATCGGAGGAAGATGAACGCAGATTACCCGCTGCCACCACAGAGAAGAGAGGGTTTTGGAGACTTCTGCGGTTCTGTTCCCGTTTTCCCTTCCCACTGTTTGGTTTAGAATTTTGTGAGTGGGCTGCGCATTGGAAAGAAGTCCGCGAAATATCGGGTGGGCCATTGAAAGCCCAACTTATCATTTCCCGCTCATTTGTCTTTCTTATTTCTTTTTGGGTTAATACCTTAGTTTGGCCCGAACTATACACATACTTTCTACTTTGGCCCGTGGTTTTCATAATTGATATACTGAATGGCTAAACGTCGCCCTAACTTTACTTTTATCGCCCTAATTTAAAACGCAGAATTACAAAACTAGCCTTAACGGAGAAAATAAAAATTAACAAAAAAAAAGAACGCCTGTAAAATGAAAATCCCTAATCCTCCTTCTTCCAACGAAACCAGCGTCGCCTCCAAACCACCTCCGTCGCTAACCGCCCCCACTTCAACATGGGCAAGCACATGTTGGATTTGGGATTGTCCATTTTAATGGGACAGTTTTAATAAGTTTCATCATTGCAATTACCATTCCACCAGCGGGCTTCGAGGCCATAACCATCGAGGTCAAGTGTGGTTCGCCTCGTCGCCGGCAGCTTTCAGTAAGCAGCTTAGTGCGGCCTATCCCCTGGTTTGCCTCGTTGCCGGCAGCTCTTTCGCATTCATAATAGACGCTCATGTGGGGGAGAATTTATTCACTTGCTCCCTTTAATTTGCCGATCTGAAGTAGCTGAGGCCACGCTTGCTTCGACTACATATCCCATCCAGTTCGCAGAGTAACAGCTTTGGGATCGCTCTATCTTGGTGGTGGCCAATAATGGCAACTGTTAATTTTTTTTTATTGTTGAATGAATTGCTTTGTTAAAATATAATATCGGACAACAATAAAAATTTGAACGGTAAAAAGGTAATTCCAATTTTTAAATCAGTGCGATTAAAATAATACTAGGGCGACAATTAGCAATCCCCTTGATATATTGGCATCAACTATGTAGCATATTTCCTAACTTGGCCCGGAGCCGGATTTGACCATCAAATTAGACAGTCAACTCCATTGACCATTAGTCAATGGCCAGCTCATTTGCCACGTCAGCGAGCACGAAATAAAAAATTATTGTTTGTTTATGTATTATTTTTTTAATGATAATAATAAAAATAAAATAAAATACCCCAAATCCATCCTCCTTCCCCTTCTCCGCCGCAGACAACCCTCCCCGCCTCTCCAACACTTCCACCTCTCTCCCCCGCACCGGATTCTTCCTCGCCATGAATCAGCAGGGGCTCATCGAGGACGACGTCGGGGTGGGAAATCTTGACACGATTGATCTCCGCCGCTCGGCCTTTCGCATCGATTTTGGTGAGGAAGAGGTTCTGGCCGGGGACGAGAGTCGGGAAGTGGATTCCCATCCGGATTTTGAGTAGCTCCGACGTGTGGAGGCGGAGGGGAGAAGTGTGGTAGTGGAGAAGTTGCTTCATTTGCAATCGGGGAGTGGCGGCTGCTGAGAAGGAAAAGGCTGAGTCATTAGGGTTTATGAGAAGAAGGGTTTGGGAAATAATCGATTTATTTGGCGGGATTCAAACAAAATGAATACAGAAACCAAATGGGTTAAATTGGGGTTTAAAGTGAATACAGAAATTCAAAAAGAGAGGGGATAAAGTGGGGTTTTTATTTTTTGTTCATTAGTATTATTATAAAATAAAATAAATATAGAAATTCAAAAAAATATTTTTTTATTTTATTCTCGCTGATGTGGCAAGTGAGCTGGTCATTGACTAACAGTCAACTCCGTTGACCGTCAAATTTGACGGTCAAAGCCGGCTCCAAACAAAGTTAGGAAGTATGGTACATAGTTCAAGCCAGGATAGCAATTTCGGAAACCACGGGCCATAGTAGAAACTTTGTGTGTAAATCGGGCCAAATTAAAGTATTAACCCTTTCTTTTTCCAATCCCCCAGCATCGGATTTGGGGAAGAAGAAGAAAACCCCTTTATCACCCAAAAGCCAGAAACTTGCTTCACCCTTCTGCTCAGGCCTCCATCGTCGTCGTCGAGATGAGGGAACAGCAACTTGGGAAGCTTCGGGGATTGGTGCGCCACTGCCTCAGCAAGCACTTGTACTCTTCCGCCATTTTCTTTGCTGACAAGGTCGCTGCTTTCACTAATGATCCTGCTGACATTTATATGCAAGCCCAAGCCCTCTTCCTTGGCCGCCATTTCCGACGCGCCTTCCATCTTCTCAACGCCTCCAAGATCGTCCTTTCTGACCTCCGATTCCGCTACCTCGCTGCCAAACGCCTCGTGAGTAGCAATTTCAGAAACTCTTAATTAAGTGCTTCATCTGCTTGGTTCCTGTTTGTGATTGTCAATTTTGCTACTTCAATTTGTGATTAGGAAGAGCTGAAAGAGTGGGATCAGTGTCTGTCTACTGATGCTTGGCGGTGCTAAGGTTGATGAAAATGGGAATGTGTATGACATGAAGGATCCGTCTGCCATGTACTTGGATAAAAATGGGGAAGACCGTGAGATCAGTGCAAATATAGACAGGGTCATTTGTGAGCCCAAAACTGATGTTCAAGTTCATCAGATATGAGATCAAAGTTAAACTGATTTCAGCAACCAAAAGACAGAATCTCTTCAAGAGCTCTAGTGAAATGAACTGCAAAATTTAGTTCAGAAGCTTCTCAAAGTAACTTTAACTTGCCAAAGCAGGTCAAAATATGTGATAATTCGCATCCATCCCAACAACAGCATAGCAGGCTGCAACAACCAAGCATTAAATTTGGGAAAAAACAAAACCCAAAATATAAAATAAGTAAAGAAGCTACGTATACGCGGTGCTTAAATCCACCAAACAACCAATTCTCCTCAAGCCTCTCTGCTTGACTTCCTGTCTCATCCAGATCTCTTGGTTGCTTCTGAATAAATGGATGTGTAATTTATATACATCTCTATCTGCTTTGGGGAAGTCAATGGCAGCTCAAACCGAGACATAACAGAGCAAATCCCCTCCCTCAATCCGTCTCTATTCCAGAATGGATTTTTTCCTCTTCAATTGCTTACTCTGCCTCATCTTCACCATCATCGCCTTGCTCCGATTCCTGCAGAAGGCAAGGAGAAATCCGCCGCCCAACCTGCCGCCGGGCCCCGCTCGGCTCCCCTTAATCGGCAACCTCCACAATCTCGGCGAGAACCCTCACAGATCGCTGGCCGACCTCGCCAAAATACACGGGCCCTTGATGAGCCTCAAGCTGGGCCATGTCACCACAATCGTGGCTTCTTCCCCAGCTGTCGCCAAGGAGATACTCCAAAAGCACGACAAAGTCCTCTCCGACCGCCACGTCCCGCTCGCCGGGAAAGCCCACAACCTCAGCGACTTCAGCTTGACGGCGCTCCCCGTGGATTCCAAGTGGAGGAATCTCAGGAAAGTGTGCAACTCGTATATCTTCACGACCCATAAGCTGGATGCCAACCAAGAGCTCCGGAACGAGAAGATTGTGGAGCTCGTGGACGGTGTTCGACGAAATGCGTCAGAGAAAGGGGAAGTGGATGTTGGGAGAGCGGCTTTCAAGGCCACTTTGAATTCTCTGTCGGCGACTATTTTTTCGTTGAATCTGGCGGACGAGGAAGGGCCGGAGACCGCCAGGGAGTTCAAGGATCTTGCGAGGGGGATAATGGAAGAGGCCGGCAAGCCCAACCTGGGAGACTATTTCCCCGTTCTGGCAAAGTTGGATTTGCAGGGGATACAGAAGCGGGTGGCGGGTCACATAGGGAAGGTTTTGAATTTGTTCGGATGGGTCATCGACCAACGGCTGCAGAAGCTGAAGTCGGAAAACTATGCCTCAACCAACGATATGCTAGACACGCTTCTTGCAATTGGAGATGATGACCACAATCGAGAGACTACCATGGATTCAACTCGCATCAAACACTTGTTCCTGGTGAGTACTTTACTTTCGATCAACCCGAAGATGTTTCAGTAGCTAGAGATCCTTGATCAAAAGTTTTGACACGTTTACCCCACCACATCAAATGTAGAGATGCAAGGTTGTCAAACCGGTTTATACCGTTGTGCCGGTTTGGCAAGTGGAATGGTACGACCAGTGGTATAACCAGTTTGTGCCGGTTCATGCCGGTTTAAAAAAGTGTAAAAATAATTAATATCCAATGTATTTAATCATATATAAAATATATTTGTGGACAATTAAGTTACAATCCAACAAATATCATCAACTTTTAACTATTAAATTCATAAAATGAATGGTAAATTAATTTTTATATTAATTAAATTTATTAAAATGATGTTAATTTGCTTAGAATACGTAAGTCGATTATACCGGTCATACCGGTGGTGTCATGCCGGTTTCATGACCGGCACAAATTGAACCAGGTTCAACCGGGTGGCATGCCACCGGCATGACAAAATGTTAACTAATGAGGGTTGAAAAGACAAATTTTGAAGTGTGTGCGGCATGTGAGAGTTATTAAGGACATGTGCAATTTTTTTTATAAAGGGACCAATGATGAATAAACGAGATGACACAATAAAAACATTTAGTCAAAGAAAGGTACGTATTTGTTGGAAAAAATTTAGTGGCTAGTTCTTGATTTTCAACACTCTGTTTCTCTGCATTCCTTCTGCTCACATATATTGGTTTATCAAGGATCTTTTTGTTGCCGGTACGGATACAACTTCGAGCACGATAGAATGGGGGATGACAGAGCTACTTCGCAATCCTGACAAACTTGCTAAAGCTAAGGAAGAACTTAACCAAACTATTGGAAAAGGCATTCATCTTCGAGAGTCGGATGTCCCTCGATTACCGTATCTCCAAGCAGTAGTGAAGGAAACATTTAGACTACACCCAGCAGCTCCATTGCTACTTCCTCGCAAGGCAGGGGTGGATGTGGAAATCTGCGGTTTCACCGTTCCCAAAGGTGCTCAAATTCTAGTCAATGTATGGGCTATAGGTCGGGATTCGATGACATGGGATAATCCGAACTCATTCATGCCCGAAAGATTCTTGGGTTCGAAGGTTGATGCTAAGGGGAACAATTTTGAACTGCTTCCATTCGGGGCAGGGAGAAGAATCTGTCCTGGAATGCCCTTGGCATTGAGAATGTTGCATATGATGTTGGGTTCCTTGATTCATTGGTTCGAATGGAGGTTGCCAAATGGGGTTGTGCCAGAGAAGATAGATATGGAAGAGAAGTTTGGGTTAGCTTTGCAAAAGGCCGAAGCTTTGCTTGCTGTTCCAACTCCCGTATAAGATGATTATGACATATAAAGAAGACTATGAACTCTATTTGAAAACTACTGCTCCTGTAATAAGTTGCTTGAATATTATTTTCTTTTTTCACAGTATTTTGTAAGTGACATTTTGAAGATTAGCGAGGAACTTATTAATAATTCAAATAAATCTTACCATCGAGTTAGAGACCAAACATGAAACTGAGACACAATCCAATTTTCAAATAGAGTTCACAGTGGCTTGATATATTTCTGTGTTCTTTCTTATGCATTAACCTCTCTCCTTCTGTGAATTATCTAGTGCAACAAAGAAAGTGTTGTAGAAGCCAAATTCCAAGAACTTGAAAAGGAAAGCTGCAATAGTAGTAATCCTTCCAGTCCATATTTTATGCGCACGCTGAAAAATGATTCTGATCTTTTGACCTGCAAAGCTGAATATTACCATCAATCTGGTGAATACCAGAAATGCTTTGAACTAACATCTTCGTAAGTTTATCGGAGCCCTTAAATTTAACATTTGCATAAGATTCCGATAGTTATCTTTTTTATCCTATATTGTATCTTGCAGATTGCTTGAGAAAGACCCATTCCACTATAGAAGCACCTTGGTCCATTTGACTGCTGCTATGGAGCTTCGAAACTCAAACGAGCTTTATGTCATGTCATGCAATTTGGTGAAGGATGGATGACCCTCAAAGGTAGTACTTTAATTAGGTTGCGTAATAGCTCCTGCCCTTTATGAACATTCATTTGTATGCTATTTCTGTATAAATTGTGAAATACGATCAGCAATTTTGAATTCAAAATGCAATGAGCTTGAAGTATATTTGAAGTATAAATTGTGAAATACGATCAGCACTTTTGAAAACCCAACAAAAATGCAATGAGCTTGAAGTATATCTTCTGAGAAGTACTATTGCTTATGTGTTCTGTAACTTCTTCGGCATTTCCTTAAAAGTATTATGGGGCCATACTCTTCATTCAATTGGATTTTTTTTTTGTTGTTGTTGAACTGTTGGATTAAACTATCAGAATATACAGTGTGATTAACTGTGCTTCGTGTGGCACCATGTCTCATTATTTACTTTTCTGGGCAGAAAGAAAGCTTTTTGTACGTATCTGTAAGTTTTCCTGAATACTGGAGTTAAGATTCTCGAGAAGATTTCAATGAGCAGAAGAAACTAGCAATTAATCAATTATGAGTAACTTTGCAAGAGGTATAGCCAATATTGTCATCTGTACTGAAGTAGTCTTAAATTCGCAGGCATTGTGGCTGAAACCGGATGATCAATTCTGCGCAGAGATGTTGAGCTCAGCGCTCGAGGATGAAGCATCCCAAGTTTTTGTTAGGGGTGTAAGTTTGACCCTTAAAACCCACTGATCTGTCTCGACCCGTCCAGGCCCTCGGGGTCGAGCTGGGTCAGTTTGTCTACAGGGTCAGCTTAGGGTCGGATCAGGGTCAGATAGGGTCGGGTTACTTTTTGACCCTATGACCCTTAATATCATACAAACACGTTGGACCTATTTGTAAAATTTTAAAAGTTCAGATACTAAATTGTAAAAAGAAAAATTTGGGTACCAAAGCATAATTTTACCATAAAATGTATGGGATTTATTTATTAAAAAATAAAATTTAGGTACTAAAATGTAAGAAAAAAATAAATTCGGGTACAGATTTGTGTCTTTTTAGAAAATAGTGTATTTATTAGGTTCATCCATCGACCCGCCCCGATCCTAAAGGGTCAGACAAGGTCATGAAAGAAATAGGATCGGGGCGGGTCAGTTATACATCTTGACTCTTCAAGAGTGGGTCAGACAGGTTCAGCACAAAGTCAGAAGCGGGTCAGACCAATTTTCAGCCCTAGTTTTTGTGTAACATTGCAGGTTGAAAAGGGAAAAAGAACCCAAAAACAAAAGTTGATTGGATAGATAATATATTACCGGCCCCTCCTTTGGAACCACTTGTTGACCCTTACATTCTTGCCTCTCTTTACAAGTTTAGCTCCATTCCTTTTAAGTTACCGTCTTCGTTTTAACATTAGCTCCCGTTAATTTAAATTTTTTAGAATAACAGATTGTTTGGTATCAAATGAATTTAGAATTCATTTCATTTTAAAATGAATTACTGTATAAAACTCATTGTCAAATGAATTCCTGTATTTTGTATGTCATATTCAAATCTTTAGAAATAAATGAATTGAATACACAAACCATGTTTGGTATATGTTTAGAATTGAATTAAATTAAAACTTTCTACAATTACACCCTATTAATTTCCAGAAGAATTCATTGAAAATTCATCTTTCTAAAAAATGTCTTTGGTCTCATACGTAAAATATCAAAACTACCCTTCAGTTGAAGGGTAGGTGCTTTTGGACTTACAGCTGCTCACCAGGGTCCTGGAACTGGTGCAAAATTTTAAAGTTGAGAAGCAAGGTATCTTCTTTCATCTCGACCAGGGATGATGTTCTACTTCTTAATACTCTTCCTATGCCTCGGTTCTCTATTAAAAGAGTGTGGCAGATTATTCGCCCTACTCAACAGAAGGTGGACTGGTGGAAACTTGTATGGAAGGGTAAGGCTATACCAAGCAACCGTTTGATTTCTTGGTTGGTTATTAGAGGTAGTATTCATACAAAGGACATAATGCATAAATGGGGGTATATGGGACCTCTGTCTTGTGCTTTTTGTGAGGGAGGGATTGAGAGTAGCCAGCATTTGTTTGCACTCTGTCCATTCACCAGACAACTCCTTGATGAGCTGTTTGGTGACTCTATGTAGGTTCCTTTAATCAAAACCTGGGAGGAAATGGTTTCATGGATGATCTTGAAGTCTAGCCAGCAAACTGAAGTTGTTGAAACCGGAAGGCTCATCTGGCAGTCGTGGATAAGTCAGGTATGGAGAGAGCGATGTCGACGATTGTATGGGGTTGGTGCTAAAGGTTTTCAGGAGTTGTTGTGTGTCATCAAATCTGAGGTTGTATGTGTTCTGAGTTGTGATAGGGTGAGCCTTTTGTGGACTGTTTAGACTTTGGTTTTGTCTTGAGGTTAGGTTTAAATTAACTGTTTCCCCAACTTTTGATTTGGTTCCCTAGCTAGCAACGGTGTTGCTAGCAACGCTTTTTTGATGAATAAAGATCCCAACGATTCATAAAAAAAACATCAAAACTATTCTTGTGTGTTCTATTCTATTCATTAATTCTTTTATAATATTTCGTTGATGAACCCTACAATCTAGTTGTACTTTCTCAATGTACTGATAAAATCGAACCAGAAATACAAAATAACCAGCATCAATTGGTGCGTTGCAATCAAATTCTTGGTGACGTTTCCCATACTACATCAATTGGCGCAAAATAATATATTTAGAAGTAATTTCGTTAATATATAAGGATAATTATGTCATTTTATTATAATTAGTAAATACTTGTGGAATTCATTTGCAAATTTCATCTCAATTCCTCAGTATTGCTATAACTAGTTCCAATTCCGTAGAATTCAAAATTTAGAATTGCAAATGAATTCTTTTAAATACGAAACAAAAAAATATTTTATTTCATAATAAATTTCTTAAAACTTATAAAATTCATTTATACTTAACGATATGTAATTCGAAATTTATTTGTACAGGGACAGATCGCCGTGGAAGAAAAAATTAACTAATTCAAGAAGAAAAAAGTAACTAGACTGAAGCGCTGGTAAATTGACCGCCAGCGGTGTTCCCGCCGCCGTCTGAGTGAACGCCACCCGCAGCTAAGACTCCATAGCATCCTCTCTCTTTCCATTTCTTTCCGTCTTCCAAGTTCCTCCCACTTTCTTTAAACTGAAAAAGGCCATTGCTTTACAGGTTCAGAGAGTGTTCACAGGTTAGTAATAGTCAATTAGTCATTAATAGATCTCCTAGGGTTTTAGCCTTCGGGGTTTTGGTTTCCTCTTCCCAGACACAGAGCATCATTTTGAGTTGGGTTTTCGCCCTTCTCTGTCAGATCCTCAAATGCGGCGGACGTTGACGTCGTTTCCCCGCCGACTGCTGGCGTCGGCGCGGGAATTCTCTACTAGCTCCGAGAAAATCGTAGCCTCCGTTCTCTTCGAGAGGTTGCCCGTCGTCGTTCCCAAAATCGAACCGTCGGTTTACGCTTTCCAGGAGTTCTCGTCAGTGCCACCGCCTCTCTAACCAGGGCTTCCCCTCTTTCCCTCGGTTTAATTTCCCTTTCTTTTCTACTGTGGCATTTTCTAACTTCACTTGTGATTCTTCTCTAGATTTCGGTGGCAGCAGCAGTATTCCCGCAGATATCCGGATGAGTTCTTGAACAAATCCAACTCTAGGTGCGTGGTTTCGGGGCCTTGCATTCTCTGATCAATCGGAATTTCTTCGCTCGCCATAGCTTTAAAGCATTCCTCTTTTTGTTAAGGGGAAAAGGGTTGTCCTGGATTCTATGTTCTTGAATTGCTTTTGCCTTGCTGCTTGGTTTGAGTTCGTTGATAAGTTGCTACCTGTCATGGTTTCTGTATTCCATAATTGTTTAATTTGACCTCCTCTGGCGAATTCAACATCCTTAATGGTGGTTGCTGTTCGAAGGATCCGGCCAATAAGCATAGCTTGGCGTAATAGGTCCTGTAACTTGAAAATCTGCTGTTTCAAACACTGCATTGGATCATATAATTCTTGTTTTTTCTTTGGCATGATTAAGTCTGCCACCCTTCAGTTCGAAGCTTTTTTCTTTATCTATCCATAGTTGTTGGTCTCTTGCTGTTTGATGGTTATCAGCACGATTCCAATGATGGTTTTGGTTGTGGTGAGATGAAAACTTTGCCTGATATATCATGTAATATATGCTCAGTGCAGAGTGTACACTATTTCCATTTCCTGCTAGCAGACATGGATTACTGTACTATTGATTTTAGTGGCTCTAATGTTTTGTTTCAATTGTAATCAGGGCGCAAGGTGAATACCAAATGGAGTATGTTCCAGCCCCAAGGACCACAGAAGCTGACAAAGCAAATGATCGAAAGTAAGGGAAAATATGTTTTAGTCCTAACTTTTTAGATCTAGATGCAAGGATTAATTCAACCTCCCCTCATCAGACAAACATTTCTACTTACTCAACTTTCGACAACCTTTGTGTTTTAGGCCTCCGAGTATATTAGTTGTGGTGTAATCTCCCAAATGGTGTATGGTTAATTGCAGTTCTTCCTATAAATGCTCAAGTCATAATAGAAAATGGGTTGCATATCATGTCACTGGAGCTGCTCCTGTAGAGCTGTCCAATATATTTAGGCAAAATACAGCGGTATATCCACAACTATTAGGTTTGTGACAAATATATCCATAATTATCGAAATACACGAAATATCCATTTCCGTCCACTCCGTTAATTCCGTCCGTTAACTTGATGACCGGACAGACGGTGGATTCTTAGTTGGCGTGCTTCTGGCCCCACTAAATGACGTGGATTAAAAGAGAGAAAAAAATTAGGCAAAATACAGTTGTATATCCATAACTATCAGGTTTGTGACAAATATATCCACGACTATCGAAATACACGAAATATCCAAAAATCGGAAGGTTGTGTAACAAATCTATCCACTTTCGTCTGAAACTATAACGGCATGTCAGATGGCGTTAAATTGACTAACAAAATGTTGAATCGATGCCATCTCACCTGCCATAAGCCAAAAAGCAACCAAACTTTACACCGTTATCTGTTAGATCTCGATGCTGTAGTCTTCTTTGTTGGCGATTTGGTTAGATTCAAACTTGGTATCACCATGGCACCGACTGCATGGAAGCGGTCGGAGTAAAAGGGAGGCAATGGTTGGGGATTGTGGTTGGAATCAAAATCTGGGCTTGGGATAGGGTTATTTGGGGGTGGAGGCGTCGATCGGAGGAGGATTAGTGGTTATCGGGCGTGTTTCTAGGTTGGATTTTTAGTCTCGCTGTCTGTGGTTTTAGGATTTTTAATTTTTTTCTCTTTTAATCCACGTCATTCAGTGGGGTCAGAAACACGTCAACTAAGCATCCACCGTTTGTCCAGTCATCAAGTTAACTGACGGAGTTAACGGAGTGGACGAAAATGGATATTCCGTGTATTTCGATAGTTGTGGATATAATTGTCACAAATCTGATAGTGGTGGATATATTTGTCACAAACCTGATAGTTGTGGATATATAGCTGTATTTTGCCTTTATTCAACTTGCCTATTTGGCATCTACGTGTAAAGTTTGGTTGCTTTTTAGCTTATGTGGCAGGTGAGCTGGCATTGATTCAGCATTCCGTTAGTCAATTTAACGCCGTCTGACACACCGTTATAGTTTCAGACGGAAGTGGATAGATTTGTCACACAACCTTCCGATTTTTGGATATTTCGTGTATTTCGATAGTTGTGGATATATTTGTCACAAAACTGATAGTTGTGGATATACAACTGTATTTTGCCATATATTTATCACATTAGTTTTTTTTGGTTTGTATGTTTTTATAGGTCACTTAACAGGGCATTGGATAGAAGGCTTTACCTTCTTCTGTATGGAAAGTTGCATGGATCTTCTGATGGCAAACTCGTCTGGCATTTCCCGCAGAAGGTTTATGATTCCGAAGATACATTACGCAAGGTGACCAGAGTTGCTTATATGAGTTAATAGATGCCTCAAAATTCCGGATTGCTATTTTCTTCTCATGTTATTTCTCTGGAATTTGGCGCAGTGTGCTGAGACTGCATTGCAGTCTGTGTTAGGGGACCTCTCCCACACATATTTTGTGGGTAATGCTCCTATGTGTCACTTGGCGGTTCAGCCTGCAGAAAAGGCACCGGAACTCGGTTACAAGGTACTTCCTTTTGTTCAGTTCTCAATGACTAACAATCTCCCTCCCATCACAAGCTAGTTTTTGTTCCTCCTATCCTATTCATATCTTGCGCTCTCCTTTTCAGCAATTCTTTTTCAAGTCCCAGGTGATTGCAACGAACAAGTTCAAAATAGGCAAGTGTCAGGATTTTGTGTGGGTGACCAAGGACGAACTGCTAGAGTTTTTCCCAGAGCATGCTGAATTCTTGAACAAGATGATTATCAGCTGATTCCCTACGATGCATCACTCAGTTTTCGATGATTTGAAGAAGCTCTTTATTCCGAGGAATAATCTGGCAAGGTCTTGTAGCGGGTCGGCCCCTTGTTTTGATACCAACAAGTGCGGCTTGATTTCCTTTTTTGCTTGTTTCCAGAATAAAGAATTAGGCTTTGTTGAAACGTTGGCCTCAGCTTACTAATGTTTGATTCTAAAGAATTACTCTTGATTACATGCCTAACTACGACATGAGACACACACTATGTATATACAAGAAATGTAAGTTAGTTCTGGTTGCCGCCAAGCAACGGAACATCTGCAGTCTCCTACTTCTCACACTCCACAGAGTCTGCTAAATCTTCATATTCAGATGGCTTGGCTGACAATTTCAGGAAAGCTTCCCCATTGCGAGTTCTGTTGGACTCCTTGGTATAAGAAGCAGTCTTCATTTGCTCTCTACTCCTTTATCTTCCGTCACTACATGCCAGAGAAGGCATCCTAGTTGGCATGAGTGAGGAGACTTTGTTCAATGTTTTCAGCATAATTCATCACATGAACAGTTTGCATAATACTTAGACCGTGGAATGGTTAGATTACTCGAGAGAGGACGCCATAAGAAGATTACTAGATACCTACCGCGAGTACATGTCTTGAATCTGTCGAATTCTAGCTGCAATCTTCTCGCTAATTCTAGATACCAGCAGCGGCTGCTACAGTTGTATTGCAGAGCTTTCAGCTTAGTTTCAACTTTCAACCCCAAGCAGAAGCGAAATACTGGATAAACCTGTTCTGGAAAATGAAGCATCAAATATACATCTTTTTAGCTCTATTTCATTTCCCTTTCCAGCATGTTCACAGCATGATCATACATTGTTTATCTCTATTGCAGAGTTGGCAGAACTGCAAGTTTAGGTGAGAACTGAGCAGGGAGATTCTATACTGTTTGTGCAGAACAGCGCGCGTGGAGGAAAGAAGTCGGTGTTCTTAGAATTACACCGTTGGTTGTCTAGCTCTGCAGAATGTTGAATCACATAGCCACTGCTGTGCAGGAAGAGAAATCATCTCTAGCAAAAACAATTAAACTGAGGATTGGGGAGAGGCCGCGCGAACGCAGGCCCCCGCTGCCACAAATTATGACGTAGGCTCTTTCACTTTGGGAAGACCTTAGCCCAGCACCCCTCCGCAAAGTGCAATGGAGGTCACTGGCCTAGACCACAAGCCTTATTGATCGCCCGTAGATCCCGTCCAGGTAAGTATGTTGCTCGGTAGCACTTAGCTACCATTTTATGCCCCCTTCCTTCCTCTGGAACTCTATTATGCTCCCGATGTGGTAATCCCACTCTCCTGTCCATGATCCATTCTTATCCCATTCCTTTGTATGTTCTTCAATCAACAACTTCCTCCCTCCATCCGGCCACATCTTACTGCAACTCTTAGCTCGTCAGTCCTCAAGCCATATTTGAGATTCCAGTCCTTTTATTATGGCCGACCAGAGCATATCTGCTCTTCTTTATGCAGCAGCTATGTTGCTATTTCTTTCTTTTCTATCAGGAGTAACTTAACAAACCCTTCATTAATGGTGAATAGTAACTAGCCTCGATGGCTATTACATCAGCAATAGAAGTAGGGATACAGCTCGTTACAACAGCTTCATAAAGCATCATTGGAGAACAGGTGGGCAAGAATTATGGTTCCTCAATTCACCCTTTACATACTAAAACTGTACAAGTATGATGCTTTAGGGGTGGGCAACGGGAAACGGGTATTTGGGTATACCCGTACACTTCCCGTTTTTTGAGGGTTACGGGTATCTATATATCCGTAATATATTTTACGGGATGGGACTTGTAATCAAGAATTGCTACTTTGGATACCCGCGGGTTACCCGTTAATACTCTTATTAGTCCAAAAGTAAAATGAATTGAGTACATCAGAAAATGACAAAGTTTAATTGAGCAGAAGTGCTCAAAATATAATTGGGTAGCAGAAGAGTCCGAGGCTCTCACTCTTGCCACAAATCTCTCTTAGCTCTGGTAATAATTTCATGGGATGGAGTCACGGAGATTGGTCTTCAAATGAGTCGAATACGCATTTTAAACGGGATGGATATCCTATCTATCCTTTGCCCACCCAGATGCTCGGTTTCATAGGCATGCATGCATGCATGTAAAAGAAAGAGCTCTTGACTGTAGAACCTAGTGTTGTGTTGGCGGGGCATGTTGGATTGGATCTACTGATCTGTATTTTATAGTGTTGTGTTGACTGTGATATGTATATGTGTGCCTCGGGAACTGCAAGTGGATTAATAAATATATATGTATCCATCTTAGGAAAAAATTCAAAAACTACCCTTGTTTAAAAAAAATTCAAAAATACCATCGAACCCCAAAAAATTCTAAAAATAACACCTTTTTTTAAAAACCGCCACCCCACCCTGCGGTTTACACGAAAACCGCTGGGCGGGGGTGCGGTTTGGCTAAGGGGCGGTTATAAAATCCGCTAGGTGGGGCGGTGGTCTTGGGCCAAACCGCCACCCCACCCAGCGCTTTGGTCCAATTCTTTTTTTTTCGATCAACTCCTAACTTCGGCCGAAACTTCAAACGAACGTAACTTTGCCCTCGGGTATCCGATCGTAGTGATTTTTTTTTAATTCGAATAACTTTTCGAGATCTTGCGGTTGGGTCCCGCCTTCGTCTCGAAAAAACGTCATTTGCTACCCCGAACGAGCCATTTTTTTATTTCCTCAATCTTTGGGCGGCCATAACTTTGTGCTCCAAAATTCGAACGTCATGAATTTTTTTTTTATTCCGCACAACTTTTCAAGATCTACAACTTTTAAGATAATCATAATTTCGAAATGTACATGAATTTGTGAAAAGTAAAGGTAAAATTATTCCAAAGTCCCGTATATCCACAACTAATTCCTGTTTTGAAAATTTCATCATATTAAAAGTTGTAGATCTTGAAAAGTTCTGCGAAATGAAAAAAAATCGCTACGATCGGATACCCGAGTGCAAAGTTACGTTCGTTTGAAGTTTCGGCCGAAGTTAGGAGTTGATCGAAAAAAGAAAAAAAAAAATTGGACCAAACCGCTGGGTGGGGTGGCGGTTTGGCCCAAAACCGCCGCCCCACCCAGCGGTTTTTATAACCGCCCCTTAGCCCAGTGGTTTGCATAGAAAACCGCGCCCCCGCCTAGCGGTTTTCGTGTGAACCACAAGGTGGAGTTTTCATCAGTGATTTTGCCTATAAAAGACTTCCCGGAAAACCATTTCTCTTCACACCTCTCCTTCTCCCTTTTCAATTTTCGGTTGTAGCTCTATATTTCTTTAGTAGTTTTGCGATTAACGTTAACTCGTAAGTTTATTTTGTATTACTTTTTATTGTTATTTTTTATTTTTGATTTTTATGATATTAACTGCACTACGGCTTTTTCGCAGATGGCATTCCAAAAGTTCACGCTTGGCTTACGTTGGAATGGTTACACTGAAGAGACCGGAAAGGGGGTCACCTACGTCGGTGGCAATTTTCAAAAGATAAAGGTCGCTACCAGACCGCTGCTTGAAGACCTCCATCAAATGTGCACTAACGTTACTTGCATGGATGGCACGAGAAGAGTTGATCGTATGGTGTACCGATATCCAAACAGAGAAAGTGGGTCATTGTGGCATGAGGAATATGTCATAACCACTCAGGAGGTAGATGCCATGCTCGAATTCTTGAGGTCCAACAATCTTTCCAAAGCCGAGATGTTCGTTTACACCGAGCCGGCCGTAGGCGTTGGAGGTCATTATGGACACGGTCAAACATCTGGTATCCATGGTGGAGGTGAATTATATGGCAATCATCCCTACCAAAGTTATCATGATCCTCATTCCTATTTTCAGTACCAAGAGCAAGGTGAAGGTCATCATCAATCTTTCCCTTCATATGAAGAAGAAGTTCAACCGGACCTCCCCAACCAACCTCAGTACAACTTCCAATCAGGCAGCGGTAGTTTTCACAACTACCATTATGGAGCTGATGAAGGTGCCTTTCATGAGTTGGATCAGATGGAGGATGCCCTGCCAGCACCAGTCAGTGACCCCTCCGATGAAGGAGAGAACAACGTCAGTGCAGACAGCTCCGACCCTCTTGAAGGTGCTGATGATTCAGGACCAGAGTCAGACTCAGCTAATGATGATGAGGTGGGTCGTGACCGTGTACCAGTCCCCTACTACAATCACATTTTAGACGAAAATTGGATGGTCGACAGCGACATGGAGCCGCCAGAGGTCCCAATATGGGGTCCACTCACTGGGTTTATGAAGGGCCAACAATTTGGCTCGAAGAAGGAGGTGTAGCACGCCATTGAGACTGAAGCAATGACTCGACATTTTGAATGGCACACAACTCATTCCAACACTAAAAGGCTCATAGTCAGATGTCGTAATCATCACGAGGGGTGCAATGTTAGGATACGGGCCATCAACAGCAAGAGACACGGCCACTGGGTCATATCTCGTGCGGTGAACACACACACATGTGTGTCATCCATAACTTCCCAAGACCATCGACAGTTGAAATCCAGGGCGATTGCTGTAGCTATCAAGCATCTAATTGAGCAAGATCCGGACCTGAAGGTGAAAGTCATAATCGCTGACATTGCAAGTCGTTATGGTTATACGATTAACTTTAAGAAGGCGTGGCATGGAAAGCAGAAAGCTCTGGTCGCCGTTTTTGGTGAATGGGAAGAATCGTATGCATTCCTTCCCAGGTTAATTTTGGAATTGGAGGCGTCTAACCCTGGCACGGTTTTCTCCCCTCGATACCAAGATGAAGAGATACAACCTCCAGAGCCAGGTAACAAGCGCCATTTTAGACGAATTTTTTGGGCATTCAAGCCATCTATTGATGGTGTTGGCTTCTGTGTCCCTGTGATCCAAGTGGATGGTACATTCGTTACCGGCAAGTACAAGGGCACTCTCCTGATTGCCAGTGGGGCGGATGCAAACAGACAAGTCTTTCCTTTAGCCTTAGCCATTGTTGAGGGAGAGAATGATGATAGGTATGGATGGTTTTTCCGGCAAAGTCAAATCCACGTCACCAGGAGGACGAACCTGACAATAATCTCTGATCGGCACGCCGGCATTAGAGCTGCCATCTTGGGTTTAGATCCAGCCTGGAAGTAGTCCCAAAGGTGGTTCATACGACACTTCAAGAGCAATTGGAACCATCATTTCAAGCGGAAGAAGCTTGCTGATAATTTGTGGTGGATTGGTAAGTTCTCTATTAGCCGTTTAATTTTGTCAGCTAACAATATCTTGTAATCTGAAGAGTGGTGCACTTGTTAGACTCTTCCTAAAGAGATGCATACCTAAGGAAATGGGGTTTTAAGCGATTATCATGGTCCTCCCATTTCCTGGGAAAATCGGGTTTTAAGCGATCTTCGGATCCCCCCCCCCTTTTTCTGTCAAACAGGTTGTGTTTCTAAGGAGATGTATACCTCTCCTAAGAGTCTAACGAGAGTAACTCCGGGTTGTTCGAATTGTACTAAACTGCCAAAAATTGACTAACGTACTACTTTTCTGTGTCTTCCTCAGCGGT